TAATATGACTTATAATGTTGAAATCAGCTTCCAAAACCAAAACATTTTGAATGAAACAAGAAACAAAAAGTATGCAATGTACCCATCTTATTAAGGGAAATTCTATATTTTGGAAATTTTGCATGAAATCTGTCAACCACACGCTTTCATGGTCGAGGTTGCTTCACCTATCACGATGTATTCCACCCATCATGAGGCTATCTAAATGAGCACATGTCATAACAAAGTTATTTTTAATTTGTCTCATTGAATTATTATTATTATTATTGTTATTGCTGTTGTGATGAAAAGTTAACACAAACAATATGGTGGCTAAACGAATATTACATGTAAATATTTTTTTTAAATTTGTTTGTTCCTCGACAAAACTTATCGTCTTCCCTGACCGGGGGGGGGGGCTATGCTTCCCCGACGGGGGGCTAAATAACCCCAGCCCCTCTGGCGCCACCACTGATTGGTATAAGACAAAAACTTTTGATTAATTTATACTTAAAATTTTAGAAACAATTATATATACTTTTTGATATTTGTTTCTCTTTGTTGGACCTACAGACACCTATCCATGCAGATCACCCAGATTCATTGTTTGCAATGATGGTTAAGTACAAATCCATCCCCAAAACTGACCTAATTAATTTTGTATTTAAATAAGGAATGTGGTCTTAGACACAAATAAAATAATAACTCCAATGTTTAAAACATGTGTAATTAATCTCTATCGATGAAACTACACAAAATAGTAAAAATTTAAAAAAAATTGATATTAATGAAAAAAATATCATTTTCTAATCTCTTTAATTCAATAAAATCCCCATACAGTACCACTGATAATTTTCTCCGCCTATTAATTTTGCCAGATTGGCAAAATAAGTTCACTGTACCCTGTAGATTCCACCATTTCCCCAGTGGCGAGTCGAAGTGTTGGCAAAAGGAGCCAACCAAAAACACTAACGAAGTGTAATATCAATTCAGATACAAGATTGCTGAAACTGTGAAGCTTTCAAAGGAAATAACCCCTGGACTCCACAATATAGCTGAAGGAATAATCTAAATCCTACACTTCTCTCGGATTACTGAACGGTCTTCGGAAAATGATTGCCACGTGTGCCACACCTAGACCAAAAAAACTTCTCCACTACCCTACCACCCCAATGCTCAGGGTCTCTCCAAGTAGGCCAATTCATTTTGACTCGAAAGTGTCTGTTGTACAAATACAAATTTTCACTGAAGGGATGTTCAACGAATAACTCGGGAAAGGTTAATAAGGTACGCATTTTGGAATATTAACAAAAAACAAAAAAACACTAGGAGAAAATGTGGTTTTCCCTCCGGAACCTGCCTTTGAAGTCAACAGAACAATTATAATAAAGTGATACATAGATACATAATACAAATATAATAATACATAAATATACAATGATACACGGGCAGTGTTTTGGCAATTTCATCTGTTGGATGGCACATCGTGCCCTGTAACTATTTAGTAATAATAATCTTATTGTTGAATCCCATATTTTATTATTTTGTTCTAGTGTACCATTGGTAGTGTTTTCGTACCTTTGCCTCATCATAATTTCAAATACATATACATAATACACAGCGTCTGCCTTATAGCGAGCCATGATATCTAACACTAACACTGGTTTGCAAAGGATAATGGACAAGTTAGAGTTTGGCGGAAGACAGTATGGAATGAAAATAAACATAAAGAAAACAAAGGTGATGCAAATAACTAACTAACCTGCAAAAAGAATGAGACTGTATGTGAATGATTATCAGATAGAACAGGTTAAAATTTTCTGCTATCCGTGATACAGATATTAAAAGAAGAATTGGGATAGCAAAAGCAAGTTCAGAGAAAATAAGGATATGTTAAAAAACAATACTGTTAGGAAAGTTAGGAAGCAAATCATTAAAACAATGGTATGGAGTACAGCATTATATGCAAGCAAGACATGGACATTAAGGAAAGAGGAGAGGAAACGAATAGAGAAGCATTTGAAATGCTTCTTGGAGAAAAATGATGAAAATAAAA